GGGACTCCAGGATCATGACCTGAGCCGAAGGCAGTCGCTTAACCAACTGAGCCACCCAGGCGCCCCTTTCCACATTTCTATGTTTGTAAAACATCTCAAAAAGTGAAAACCCTGGCTCTCATTATCCTTGATATACTTACTGATTTGCTCACTTTTCTCATTCTTTGATACAAGTAAATAGCCCACCCTTCAGCTGTCACCTCTCTTTCTCCCACGTCCCTTCACAGCCTGTGTTCTGTTACAGCTATCAAGTTTTTCCTTCTTCTTGACATTTTTTTTTCAAACTTGTCTTTTTGTTTTCCTGTAATTGTTATTTATAAAAATGCAGAGACTCACTTACTCAACAAATTTTAGACATCTGCTAGGTGCTTGACATCGTGCAAGATGCTAGTGACAGAGATATGTCCTCTGTTCTCAGAAACCTTCTAGTCTAATGGTGGATTCAGACAAGTAAGGCACATCACTGTGTTATTCTACTGTGATGGAGGGATGGGAAGACCCTGTGGAAGCCCCTAAACTTAAATTGGAGGGCCGGGGGCATGAGAGAGAAAGTGAAGAGTGTGTTATAGTGTGTGTGTGTGTGTGTGTGTGTGTGTGTAGAGCAGGGTAGGGAGGGATGGTGCTCCAAGCCGTGGGAACGGCATGGACGTCTCCATAAAATGAGACCGGAGGATTCACCATTATGTACTAAGATGCAATCGATGTGCCGTGAGTCCTTCAGCTAGGTTTCACTTGATGTGTTCGGCATTTAGTGATCTACCCCTTGTATACCACTGGCTGCATGCTATGGTGGGGTGGGTGGTAATGTGAGATGACACCATTTATTATTATTATTTTTTAAGACTTTATGTATTTATTTGAGAGAGAGAGCACAAGCACGGGGAAGAGGCAGAGGCAGAGGGAGAAGCAGGCTCCCTCCTGAGCAGGGAGCCCGATGCGGGGCTCGATCCCAGGACCTGGAGACCATGACCTGAGCTGAAGGCAGACGTGTAACCGACGGAGCCCCCCGGGGGCCCGAGATGACACCATCTTGTTGACAGGGTTTTACAGTACAGTGAGGGAAACTGTCCTGCACACAAAGGCTGTAAAGCAGTAAATAAGGGTGGGAAATGAGTTTTGAGGGATGATAGTAGCATGGAGAGTGGGGTGAGGAAACAAGGGAATTGTAGACCATAAGCCAGAACAGGGGTCAACAGCCTTTCTGTAAAGGGCCTGCTAGTAAATATTTTCCGCTTTATGGGCCATACATCTGTGCTGCAATACTCAGGTCTGTCACTATAGCGTGAAGGCAGCCGCGGACGTAAATGAAAGAGTGCGGCTCTGTTCCAGTAACACTTTATGAAAGCAGAGAACAGAACTAGCTCTTATTTGCTGATCCCTGGACTAGAGTGCAAACTCCACATGGCCTAGGGATTTGTTTTATTCTCAGCTCTGTCCCATGTCCTAGAAGAGGGTCTTGTCATCCGTAGTAGTCACTGGATAATTGTGTTGAATGAATGGAAGGAGAATTAGCCACTGCTCCCAACTGGAACTCTTTCTTGCATTTGTGATTGTACGTTATGGTTGTTTTCTGTAGTGTTAGGGTTTAATGCCAAAGTCAGCCCAACTCGGGGACCTGAAAGATTGTCCTAGAGCATTCACATT